CCCTGAATCCCCCCGGCCCAGCGCGGCGGGCCCTCCCGAGCGGGCCCTCCCGAGCGGCGTTTGTTTCCCCTTTGCGAGGCCATGATTAATTTTCCCTTTGAGGGAGTTTCCGGTTCGTTGTTAAAACGCGGTTGTAGAAGCAGGGCAGAAAGGGCGGTGGCCCCCAGCTGCTGGAGGCAGCGAGCCTGGCCCGCGGCTCCGGCTGGGCACCAGCTGTGGGGGATTTGTCCGTGGCCGGGATGGGCGAGGGCAGAACAGCCCACCGTGATGCTTCAGCCAAGTCTTCTGGGTCCTCGCAGCGCAGTGTCTTGGGTGTCTCTATCCTCGTTCCTTCCTGAGCGTGTTGGCTTGAGATTACGTTTTCTTCCCCAAAACCCCTCTTCCTCAGCTACCCAAAATTTAATCGTTTTAGAAGGGAAGCAAGGTCCATCCTGGCTTCAAAAGTAATAAGCTGGGATAGTTCTTGCGTGGCTATAGAAAAATTAGGCTGAATTTTGCTCACATATGACTCTTTTGCTCCATCTTGCTGGCTTGCCCCCTCATCTCTACATAAAAACATACCTTATAGCGGTACTGTGCACCACTTCGCTTTTTGCACCTGGTCCGCAGCTGAGAAAAACTGCTGTAAAGCTGAACACGGAGTAGCTTAGAGCAAAGAGTTCTTTTTACCTCACATGTACGTTTTACTCCGTTTCATGTTAGTGGAGTCTACTGCATGCATTTGTGTTAAAACAAAATGTAGCCCTTCAAATAATGCAGAGGCTCTTCTCGCATTTTGCACGTGTTTCCTTAATTCTGCTTTATTTTTACTCACGCATATGTATTTTAATTTTTCGAGACGTTTACTAAATAGAATGTGTTAAATGTGGAACCTGTAGTATTGAATCTGTGTAAAACGTAGGTGTTCTAGAGCACAACTGAAGGGGGAGCACTTCAGCTATTTTTGAGGACGGTAGCTATTTTGTGATTATACACTGACACGGAGGCAAGCTAAAAATATTTACAAACAATGAAGTTTTAAAAACTAAGAGGAAAAAAATATAAGCTACCGTGAAATTTAATACCATGGTATACCAAGAGGCAGGTGGTGATGTATCTTGAGTACTGGCGTTGTGCTTAATGTTCATGTTGTTTATGCTTATTCTTGCCTTGGTTACTCACGAGAGACCACCCAGTTTAAGAATAAAAGCAATAAAAAAAATCTGCACTCGTTTTTACACTGTGCCCTTTCTGTTACTGGATTTCACTAGCGAGAGCTCTTTTTGTGCAGCGATGCAGAACTTGGTGTCAATTTAAAGGTACTTTTTTTTTTTTCATACCCTTCAGTAGCTAATCCGTCACAGATCCACCCATAGACAATCTTTACGGTAAACCAGCTATTCCCTGCCTCCTCTTCCTGCTAGCATTTCAGTCCAGAAGTTAAGGAGTTTGAAACTTAAGACTTCCTTGAATTTCTTTCGTAACAATCGACGTTTAGTCAAGACTGCAAACAATGCTTCGGGTGATTGTGGAATCTGCTACCAATATCCCTAAAACCAAGTTTGGGAAACCAGATCCTATTGTTTCTGTTATTTTTAAAGGTAAGGAAAACTGTCATACGTGTGCTCAGGGAGGAGGTTTTCTGGAGGAAAGTGTCCTATGTAAGTATTTGAAGATCTGTGAAAACATGTTTTCATGAAGTTATATCTGGTGTTACTTTGGGGAACACTTTTTAATTAGAGAGACAGGAGTTACCTGAATGAAGTTTGAACTGGGTGGAGTGCGTTGGTCTCTGCTGGCCAGCAGTTCTTCTGTTTCAGGATCCACGTTTTATAAGCTTTTGCAAAGGTTTAGTCCTTTGCTTTAAAACCCCAAATCTAACTGCATAGATAAATACACTTTTAATTCTTGTATTGAAGGTTACCTTGTTGTTTTCCATCTGAAAAGATCATTCCTCTCTCTTGATTACTTTGCACTGCCACTGCTTACTGTTACAGCAATTTTTATTGTGACTGGTTTATTGTTGCTATTATCAGCATGTTAAAAAACAGTAGTAGGTGTTTGGTTTGCTTTGTTTTTTACAAACTGAATTACACTTTAAAATTTTGCTTGTTGAGATTATTTAATTTAAAATAAAGATTTAGGAAGAAAACCCCATTTTACACTTTCATTGCTCATCAGATACATATGGGAGGAGAAAACTGTGATAAAATTAGCATTTATATGCAAAGCTAATTATATTTTACAGTATATTTTACCTATTGCCATAATTTCCTCATTTGGCTAGATTAAAGGAACTTGATTTCAAGTATTGGTTATCTTTAACATGCAGAAATCTCCAAGCAATTTTGGATCATGTAATACATTAAACCAAACTGTGACAAATGGTCATCTTAATTCCTGGTGACCTGGTTTCCTAACTGTGCACTGAAATGGAAACTGTATTTCCTGAAGTATGAAAAATCATTGCAGGGATTTGTCACCTTTAGAAACCAAATCTTAAATCATGACATTTTGCTGGAGGCTGGGAAAGGACAAGGCAGTGCATGTCGAGTATCTTCCAAAATAAAAAGGTTTTGGATACCTTATTTCAGTATCAGAAAGATGTGGTATCATTCCATTTCCTTTCTTTTCCTCCTCTTTTTCAAGTTTTTTTTTTATCCCCCGAGTGTTAGGGCAATTGGCTGAGCCTGTTTCAGTAGTTTTTGGAACTTCATAATTCTTAAAACATGATTTTATTTGCCCTGCGAAAAGTGCTGTTACTGGTGTACTGTAGTTTCTCTGGTTTGTTCCATTTGTTTCTGCTGCTTCTTGAACATTAATAGTCTCTTTTCAGTTCCATGACTTCTCTTTGCTTCCCTGTCACAGTTTTGCCCTCCTGTGTTACCTCTGTTCCTGCAGTGTTTCATTCTCCAGAGTTGGTTTATGCCTTTACTTCTTTCTGCCTTAACTGTCTGTTTAATTCCTCCTTGTAATCTTTTGTTCCTACTGTGTGCTCTAATACAATTCAGTTTTGCCTAGTAAGTATGTTAGATTTACTTTGTTTCCTCTGCATTGCTGGATTTGTCTCTCAGTCCTTCAGTTATCCAAACACAGGAATTGGGCAACAGACATTAAAGGAATGACTTTATATTTCTTCTTTATGTGCTGCAACTGGGATTTTTGATGTTCATAAACATGCTTAACCATTGTCTTAAATACAACTTCATAATTGTGACAGATTTTTAGTAGGATATTTCATTTCTCATTATACCTGCCACTTCTTTTTATGTGGTTTTACTACACACCAGCAGTCTGATTTTTTGCTTTCTGTCCAGAGTGATTCAAGGGGGCAGAATATATCAGGCTTTTGCCAGCTATCGAGCAGTTCTGGTTTAATTTGTCAGTGGAGTGCCTAGTTGCCAGGTGCAAGGGCATAGGGATAATATCTGAAATGTGTTGAACTTCTGGCTGGTTATGTTTATAGATGTTTCTTATATACAGCCTGTTCCCCCCCACCCTGTTAGCATGTGGAGATGGGAAACCAGTCTCATTTTTGGGAAGGTGTATGTCAAAGGGCAGCAGTCTTTTAACGGTAGTCTGTACCCACTGTAGCTTCTGGGGGACATAAAAAATACAGTGGGGAGTTTATTGTCCAGAGTGGAAAAAAACTCGGGCATTTGCAGGACTTTGGCCACAGCCCTGCAGTACATTTTCATGTTCTTGTTTGACCCTGGAGTATTCTTGAAGAAGTCTTCGAGAACAGCACTCATTTGACAGAAAATTGCCGTGGAAGTTGACATTTCATTAAACAGCATTTTGTTTGTTAGCTTTGTCAAACTTGAACTTACATAGACTTTGCTGATGTCAGGTTCAGTAATTTTAAGACTTCAGTGAAAACACACAGTATCTCTCAGCATTAGACCTTTATGGCTATGCTGTGAAGAAAAAGGCCATGATCCTACAACTACTAGTATGTAAGTGACTCTGCAAACACTTTAGATGTTAACATACGTATGTTAGTATAGTTTCATCTACGTATAGAATAGACTTCATCAAATTTGTATAACTAAGCTAGTTATAGGCTATACAGTCAGTACAATTAGTACAGTGCCTTAGGTACATATTAAGAGGAAGTAGGCAGCTGTTTCTGTTGTGATATCTTATTTACAATAGAGGGGGTTTGTGCAAGCATTTGACTTTTTGTATTTTCACGTTTATGTTCAGTCCATGGATGGAACTTTTCTTGTATTTACTTTTAAGAACAACTCACTGTTCAAAGAGAGCTACACCCTAAGAGTAAATGAGTATTCCTGTCTGGAACTGGGTGCTGTTACTTGCAGAACGCTATCCTCGCTCTATGCGAGACAAATTCTAAGCCAAATCAATATGAAAAACTGTTCCCATTTGCTGAAGTGGCACTAAGTGGTAACGATTAAGCCAGTACAACTCTTTTGGTTTGTCAGATACACCAAACTGGAGAAAAGTGTGTCAGATTCTTGTCCTTGGTTGTAAAAATTGACATGATTGCTTATGTGTGCAGTCAATACTAGGACATTTAGTGCTGTCATCATTCCTTTTGATTGCCTCATTCAGCTTTATGCTTTAAAAACTGATGTGAAATTGCATTCAGTTTGATTGGGCCAATTTGAATAAACTTTATTTTTCCATTTGTGCTTAATCTAAGAGCTTTCCAGCAGGCCTGCAGTAGTTCACAGCTATGTTAGTTTGTATTTCAGTATGTGAAAGAAGAGAGTATTAAAGTGTAACTATTCACTAAATGTGTATTTTCTGTTTTGCAGAGAATTAAATTACTCTAATTTCCTGGTTCTTGGAGGTCTGCTCATTTGATCTTGCAGTTGCTGCCACCATGCAATCTTAATTCTTCATTCACAAAAGTTTTATGGAAAACTTAGTTAACTGAAATGTGATTCTCTCTTGAATCTTAGACTTAAGACTGTTGTAAAAGACTGTTTGCTTCTGCTCTTCCCCACCTGGTGAATTGATAAAAATGCTAGTTACAATAGAAGAAAAAATGTGAGATGTAAGCAATGGTTGTTTTGCAGTACTGTAATTACCTTTTTCACGATGGAACAGTTATTATTTAAACAGCTCATCTTGAATTAATTTTTTTGATCACTGTGCCATGTCATTGACTGTTACTGAGTTCTTACTACATTCATTTCCAATTGAGAACATTAAACGTGGTAGTATAATGCCTCTGCCAAGATAAAGCAAATAATGATTTCTTCTACAGTACCAGGGTTATTGTAGTTAGTTTTTAAAGAAACAAGTATATAGAGTGTCCTACCTGTATCCATGATAATTTCTTACTCTTATTTCCTGGTAGGGTCAAACTAAAAATTATCATTGGCCCTGTCTCACAGTTTATCCTGCTGTGGTTTACAGTCTTGGCTATTTGGATTCATTTCCAGTAGAGGAAGGCAACCTGCAGACCTGAAACTTATGCGAGCTCCTGGAATAACTGGGCAGTCCATCTTACCCTGCTTGGCAAAGATTTTTTTTGGTGGGAAGAAGAAAGCTCTTTGCTAGCAGTTTAAAAAACAAACCAAAAAACTCCAGTGCATTAGAAGAATCGTAAAAAGTGTAATAAAAAGCAAGACAGTAAATGAAGAAAATACATGCAAAATACATGCTCAAGGAATGTGAATGCTACACTCAGACTGACTAAAATTACAACTAAAACCCAATGTAAACTGTGTTTCCCAGAGTTTTTAATCCAACTTTCACACAAATGCATATCACAAAAAGTTTGTTGTTAGCGGAATCATACGTCCTACTCTTGTTTTTATGAAAATGGATAGTCCAGAATGGAAGGTTGCACTCCTTGTCAGGAATGGTTTTCACTGTTGTTCAAGCCAGGGCTTTCCTTACCTTACAGAGTTACATTTGAGCTTAGGCAGGGATCATAGGACTTTTATTTGTTAGTTCTGCCAGGATCAGGTCTGTGATTCACTATCTCCTTTACAAACAGCTGCAACTGTTCCTTTTTTCACCAGCACTGAGAACGTTTTTCCTCTGACTCCTGGCTGGTATTTGTAGGGGGACTTGGAGTACCAGTGCCAAACCCCAGATATTCTAGGATATTCAGTTTTGAAAATGCTTTGTCTCCTATTAGATAACATGAAGTTGAATTTCTCTTATTGGCATGTTAATTAGTTCTTTGTTCTGCAAAATGGGAGCCCACAGCATGGTATGTTATGAATGCTCTTTCCTTTGTGGTACGATGTGAGTCAATATCCTGTATAAATTGTAGACAATTCCTGTTACATAAATGTGAGTCACTTCTCGCAATTTGAAGTATGGGCTGACTTTTTTTCCTTCAGTACAACCCACTCTCATCCAGTAAAAGAGCCACCACAATCTACTGTTTGAATAGTGGATATATGAACTTGCCTTTGCAACGTCTTCCTGGCAAAGTATAGCCATAACTTGTGAATAATAAAAATGCTATTACATTTACTGTAGTCCTTAAATACAAGGAACATGTCTGCAACTTATCCTTCATGTGGTGGCTGAGCATTTTATAGATCAGCAGTTAGTTTACCGACTGTACTTAAATATACTCATTTATTATCACTAATATAAGCAATTTTTGTTTAGAGATCTGTGTGTTTGCCAGTGTTGTTCTGTACTTGTGAGTCTTGTGTCAAGACTTGTTCTCCATTGGAGCTGTATGTGTATAGTGCAACTAAAAAGTAAACATAAAGCTGTGGCATGTTATTTGCTTTGAACACGTTGTAAGAACAGAATTTTGTTTCCCTTTTTAATAGATGAGGGGGGCCTGCAAAAGGCCTCTGCAACACTTGAGTTGTATTATTCTTCTCAGGAGAAGGAATTTAAATTTAAATGACACAATATATGTAATGTACACCACACCCTGCACTCCCATGATCTGTAGGTTGACCAAATGCAAATTTTACCCTGAAGTATGGAAAAAATTTTAATTTTTAGGCTACAGTAAATGTCAGTGAAGTGATCCATATAACTTCTGGAAACCATTTTTTCAGGAAGGACTGCATTTTCTCTTATATGCATGTGCATTTCTGCTAATAATATTTGCCCATTTAGAGCAGAAAGTGCTGACACTGTAAGCATATCTTCTTGAGATTTTTTTTTCCCCAAGTGATTTCATTTCAGAGCTAAACACTTATGAGTATTTTGTAACAAAGTTATGGTAAAACATGTAACGCATTTTCTTTACTATTGAAACTCATCACTTTGAGGTTTTTGTTTGGTTTGATGTCTCCATGACTTTTGTTCTGTCTTCTTTCATCATTACTGAAGTTGCAGTCAAGGGTCATAGAAAGTTGAGAAACCTAAACATGAATTTTGCTTTTTGGGAATACATCTAGCTAAGCTTAAAAAAAAAACAGAATAAAAAGCTTCAACTACTAAAATTGCCTGAGGGACTTTTTGATTGTAAAATGTGCAGGTACTGGAAGAGGCAAAAAGAATTGGAACATTTGGTTAAAGCTCAAACTTTCTTTTGAAAAGTGGAAGGAAAAATTGTTACATTTGTGTAATGCTTTAGTAAAAACAGATCATCACACTTGTTTGTATTTGCAGATGAAAAAAAGAAAACAAAGAAAATTGACAATGAACTTAATCCTGTTTGGAATGAGGTAATTCCTTTTAATCAATTCTTGGTCTTTTTTAAGAAAAAATGCTTGTAAAATAATTGGTAAGTCAGTTTGTACAGTGGTGAATATCAGTTAGAAACAGGAATTAGTGATATGTGCTTTGTGTTCATAAATGCAGGTGAATGGATTCACCTTGCACCACATATTACAATTCATTAAGTAATGTTTTCTTGTAAAAGTAGATGGGTATCTGTTGAGTTTGTGGCTTGGTTTTGTTCCCTGTTACTTTGGACCAAATGATAGTCAGCTGTTGTTTAACCACATGTATGGGAACATAATTGGATTCTCTATTATATACTAGGAAAAAACCCTACAGAATTAGAATGGATCATCTACTGGAAGTTCCTTGTGGTTTATTTGTAGTACTGCTTCTATTTTGCATCTTTAGTAATGATGTTCATGGTGAAAATGTTTTCTTATTAGTGTTTTTTCACAAACAGAAGTGAAAGTTAAAGATTATTCTTACAGTTTGTAATTAAGAATACAAATAAAGGGAACCTACAAATATTCGTCTAAATTCATCAGCAATGGATTTCAACCAGTATTGTGGGAATAGCATCAAATTTTACGAATGATAAGAAAATACTTAGGTTAGTGTGAGAAAGTAGAACTGCAGAAGAGGTTATGGCTCAATATTAAACAATTTAGTTCTTTTTCTGTTATTGTTGCTAGTAACTAGCAAATCAAGAATGTGCTATCAACATTTTCCCAGATTTTTAACTTTGCTTTTGCAAATGTAGGCTGGTCTGTCTCTCACTAAATGCAAAATTTATTTCTGAATAATTTTGTTGTATACACTACTCTGCTGTTAATTAATTTACACATAACTTCTAATTATAATTTGGTTTTGCTCCATTTTTTTTGTTCAGATTCTTGAATTTGACTTGAAAGGAATTGCTCTGGATAATTCATCTTCCCTGACAATTACTGTGAAGGATTTCGAACCTATTGGACAAAACAAGTATGTTCTTTTTTTTTCTCCAATATTAAACACAACTTTCAATACAGAAGTCCAGGGGAAAAATGGAACTGATAGTTACCAGAGAGAAATGATGGATGCAATTAGATGGTTTCTGATGTAATACCTACTAGTAGCCTATAAGCCAGCTGTTTTGTTGGGGTTTTTTTTTAAAGAAAATACGTAGCTTGATATTAAGAGAGTCTTCTGTGAAAAGTAAATTGAATAACCTCAGCAGAGGAAGAAGATGGGTATCTAGCTTCGCATTCCTTAGAGAAGGACTCTAGTCTGTTACAAAAATGCGGTGGGAGGCTGCTGAGAATTGCCTTTTCTTACATTAATTTCTTGGAAAGGAAAGGTAGAGACTCTTACTATCAGTAAAGGATTTAGAGTTTAAGTCTTCAGCAGATAGAAGTTCTCATTTTCATGATGGCTGTTAGTGCATTTTGATAGGCTTGAATGCTACTCTGAAAGTCTAAACTCTACCAATGCAGTATGTACAGCACCTATATACCTAAAATTGTGTTCTGCATTATTCAGACATCTAAAAATCAAGTATCATGGGATCTAAGATATTTTTGTGTATATTCCTTTTTTTTTTTTCATTTGTGAGAGGCTAAAGGAAAGTTTCATTCATGCAGTTTTGTTGAGTCCTCAGGGCTCAGACAAAACTTCTTCATGTAAGATGCTTAGTTTTAGTTTTGACAAAATCAGATTTTATTATTCATTTTAGAGAACTGAAGATAAACAAATAGTAGCTATATCTATATATGCGTGGAAGGATATCACACAAAACACAAATAGATTTCCTTCAACTAAAAAATGAAAAATATATCTAGTTTTTCTACACATGAAGTAATTACAGCAGAAAAGATGCACAGAGTGTATGATTTTCTGGAAATTATTGTGGGTTTTTTTAGTTTAATCTTGGTGTTGAAGACACTGAGAAAGGAGCCACTTTGAACAGCGGCTTCTACTTTTCTATGAAAGGAGACAACATGATAAAAAGTTTCAGAGTACTGAAATGCGGTCAGGGGTCCATGTTGGCATTTAAACATTTTTTGTAGGTTTATACTCTTACAGAATAGGAACATGTAGTAGGTGAACATATAACTAATTAAGATGTCTTGTTCAACTAACGTTTAAGAGTAATCTTTGTATTTTTCAAACTTTTTTTTAAAATAAGAATAGATTTGTTCCTGTGAATTGAGTTGATAGGACCTTTTGACTGTGACCATTGAAAAAAATTATTGCCATGAAAAATTAAAATGGTATATATAAGAACACTAGAATTCAATTAATTCACATTCTATTAAAAAGCATAATATATAAACTTTAGTAAAGATGGAGGGTACTTTTTGTCATTTTGACCTGGACCTTGAGGTTCCTGCTGTATTTGTGGTGAAACAAATACATAATGCGGACTCTAACAAGTTTTATGTGGTTCTGAACATAAGATAATAGAGATTAAAAAAAAACCCCAAATGTATCTGGAATTTTGTACAATTTAAGCTTTAATTGAATATCAGAATTGGAGGTGTACAGGATACCTTAAAGCAATGCGTGTGCATATCATTTCAATGAAGATGACCTAAATTACCAGTTGAAATTGTTAGCAGCCTCTTGTGTTCTGCATGCCATTTGTTTTATGGCTCGTCACACAGAAATAAACCTGGTCCCTAAAATCAACTGCAGGAAAAGAGTAAGGTCTTGGGTGGCAGCAAGCCAATGACAAAGCTTTTCTTGGAGATAATCTACAGCAGGGGTAGAGTGTATTATTTTGTGTTGAAACATGCACTCAAAGCTCTGGCAAAGTCTAGTTCTTTCTTAACATGCATAACAAGATAAAGCTTCATCAATGTGTTTAATCTTTAGCTGTGCCACCGTGGTTAAGATCTTCTGCCTATCTCTCCTTAAATCATAGGATTTTTGTCTAAAAAGGTAAATATATACATTTGGACAAGTGTCACTCATAGAGATTTTTTTTTTTTAAATATGTGCAGAAAAAAAGAACAGCTTATAAAAATGAGATGGAAGTCCCCACTAAAGTCCTAGATTTTAAACAAGGATCTATTTCTCTGTTTGCTGTGTTCTTGTGTTCCCTCTTGTCTGTCAATGCCAAGTAGTGTTGGCTATTGCTGTTTTGAAAGGGACTATGATATCATGTCATCTTCTTTCCTTTTTTTTTTTTTGTGGCAGATTTGGATATTTTATGACACTGAGCTAGGCATGCATTCATATTTATTGGTAGTAGTCCACTTCTGTTGTTTAGCTTTTCTTTATTACTTTCTGCCTCCTCCCAATATGTGAATTCAGGGTTTTACAATACTCCAACAGCTCTGTCGTAAAATCACTGAGTCAAGCCAGTGCCCTCAGATTGCTCATTCTTGAGATTCCTATACGTCAGTAAAGCAGGAATATATTGCACGTCTCTGGCTTTAGGGAAATCCCAAAAATCACAGAACTTGATATAGGAAAGCTTGTCAGTAATGAGAAATTTGTAATGGAGATTTTATATAGTATCAGAAAATAAAGGAGAGTGCTTATCTGAAGCTCCTAAAATGTTTCACGCTGTACGTGGGTTCAAAGTTAAGCAGGCATGCCATTTTGGCTTTTTCAAATATCACCTGGACTCATATTTGTAGCACTTAACCCCCAGCTTGTGCAAATGTCTGTTTTGCTTGGGTTTGTGCACTGCAAGTTGTCTACCGCTTACTTATTCTGTGTGCATTTTAAAAAGTAAGCTAGTAAAATTCTTTGGGAAAGTGACTTCTATGTATGGAGCTGTGCAAAAATATATGTAGTCCATACCAAAGTCAGAGCAACACCTTCAAAGTAATGCTCTTTGAAACTAAATCCTCCCCAGTAACCGCCACATATTTGCAGTGTGTGATGTGTTTGGAAGGGCTGTTGGCAGGGAAACAGGATAAGGGGGTGAGAAGTGGTAAACGCATGAGCAGGCTTCCTGACTGTAACAAGATAATAGGAAATGTCGTCTTGACTTTCTTTTGAAGACAGAAAGCACTGTAACAGCAGAAAAGATTTGGTATTAATGAACATTTGCTTTTAGACAAAGGAGCACGTGAAAGAGGGAATGTGGAGTGAGTTTCCCACATATTACTTGCATGTATGCGTAACCTGTATTTCTGTACAGTTACTGATTCTATTTACTAATGCTGAGTTTGAGAGAGATTTAGGATTACCATAACATAGCTTTGCCATTCTTTCACAGTATCCTCTTTTAATACTTAAGGAAAAAGTCCATAGTTAGATACATGCCTGCAGTACTGCAGCATTAAAAA